AGTGCCTCGGAGCACGAGGGGAAGCCACAACCCTGACAGCAAATGCAGGAAAACACCAACATTGCTTGCAAACAGATGAAGCCAAAAGCAGCATTTTTAGGGTTTGAATCTCCTGCTGCTTCTCTGCTGCTCAAGGTGAAGAGAGTTGAGAGCACAAGCGTCATCACCAGCGTCTGAAATACCTCGCTTTGAATCGGCCTCTAACGAGATTTGGGGTTGGTGATTCATCCCTCTGATGTCACAGAAATGAAGGAAGCGTGTGTGGCCCAGCCACGTCCCCAAATGGGGTGAGGAGGCAGCACACAAAGACAGCGAATGCTGAAACACAGAAAATTCCCTTATTTGAAGAGCACGATTTAGCATTTCCTGCAGGAAACTGTCCTTGAAAAGTTTTGATCAGCAAGAGCTGTCACCAGAAATAATTCTGAATGAATCCTGTTTTATTATTAAGTATTTCTATTACATTGCTGAGTTAACAATCTTGTTTAAGAGTTCTGAAATCCCAACYAGACACAGTATTGGACAGTTCTGTGCTGAAAGTTTAGGGATTTATCACAGAATCCTCAAATGGCCTGGGCTGAAAGGATATTAAAAATTAGCCAGTTCCAGCCCCCTGCCATGGTGGTTTAGGTTTGGAGTGGGACATATTCTCTCCAGTGAACATATCCATGCAAGATACCTATGGAGTGTCTGATCCTAAAGGACACTGTAAAATTACCAGGAGAAATGAAATGACCCGGCCTTCTTGAACTTTCCTCTGTTAAAACACTAATTCCCATGGCTGGCTTTGAAAAAAAAAAAAAACAAAAAAACACTTGTAATCTCTATATTAAGGTCCATAAACTTCATCCCTAACTTTTTATTTCTGTTTTATTCCTGTTCCATGCATTGCCAAATATTGCTTTTGTGTAATTGAAACGGAGCTGCAGTTTGATTATTAAACAGGGGAAGTAATTGTGTTCGGTTCTAAACGGGGAAGCAAAGGTGGGCAGTGGAAAAAAAGTTTAAATTGTGGAAAAATTGGGGTTTTTTTAGATCAGAACTAGACAGCAGATGCTGCTGGGGCCAGCAGTCCCAGCTCCAGGGGATGACCTTCTGGTTCCATGGGATGTCTCGGGGAAGTGGATTTGAGAAGATATTTTGTACAGGCAGTGTAGGGAATTTATTTCTCTTCTCCACCCCTCTAGCTCCATTTGTAYCTTGCAGAATATTTGGATTTTAATGTTGTGCTGCAGCGCTGAGCTGTGGTTCAGCCTGGCTTTGCACCTCCCGTGGAATTATGGTGGGAGCAACGCTCTGGAGAAAGGAGAAAAAGGAGGATATCGGGTATGCTGAGCACCACGAGCCATTTCCTGTTTGAGGCCCAAGGAAAGAGAGGCTGTGACACCCCAAGGGTCCCATTTTTAACGCCACCATCAGAGGGGACCTGCGGTGGCCTGGCTGGGCAGGGCGAGCTCCTGTTCCATCTGCCACGGGTCTAAAACCACAAACAAACACTTCCCTTCCGGTGAGAAAAAAAAAAGCAAAAAAACTACAGGTGAGAGAGTGCTCTGAGCAAGGCGAAAGAGAGGTTTGATTTATTATATTCGCATTTGTATTTATTCCCATAAAACAGGTGTCCCGGGCACAGAACGCATCCCTGCGCTCCCCCAGCTCCGTGCCCGGCTTTGCCCATCCCGGGCTGTCCTGGAGCGTTCCCCCCGCGATCCCGCTGCTCCGGGAGCAGATGCGGGATGGGAGGCAGAGGCTGCCGGCGGATGGAGCGGCTGCTGCCAACTCTCGCGAGCTCCATGTCAGAAGGGCTCGATTATAATGTCAGCCCCGGCCAATTGTCGGGCTCAGAGCGGCGGCGGCACCGCTGCGCTTCCCCCGGCGCGTCCCCGCATCCCGGCGCTTAAAAACTTTGTAGCTCTTGTAACAGGAGCGGGGTAAGTGATTCTCTCTTCTCGCGTCTCTGCCTGCCAGGATAATTCCCAGCTCAGTCTGATTTGCGCGGGGATTGGGATCTCTGGGAGCGYTCTGCTCTGCCCATTTGTTGCTCTCTCTGCTCTGCAAATGGAACCAGCGAGCAGCGTGTGTGCCAGAACCTGGCATTATTCAAGGGATTCTGGGCTAAGCAAATTAGAAATCACTTATTAATTCAGCCATCTCTCCTATTTAAATAGTGATTGTATAGCCTGGTATATAGATTTTTTTTTTTTGGCTGGGTAAGGATTTGCAAGGGGGAGGAAATAGCGTGGAAATAAATAGCGTTCCCTTGCTGARTAAGAATGCAAGAGTGGAGTCTGTTCAACTTTCTCTGGGGGAACTACTACAGCAGCAGCTTTTTAAAATATGCAAATACCCTTCGTGATATAATTCTGGGTGAGCGTTGATGAGCTAAAGTAATCTTCTGACCCTTTTATACTCTCATTGTAATAATCAAGTAATGTTTGTTTTGCTCGATGTGCTTCACGTTGCTGAGTTTGGTTTAAAGCRGCATTAAAAACCTTATTAAATGTAATATTTGCCAGGCATTCAAGGTGTARTAATAATCCTGTGTCACTTGCTGCTTTTGTTAATATTAGCAGAGTGACCTGAGAGTAGATGAGTCTTCTCATTCAGCAGCGCAAAACTTCTGTGTTTTTCAAGCTTGATCTATTTCTAACTTTTTCTTTGAAATGCCAGGGCTAATTTAAAAGGTACAGGACTGAACTTTTTTGTTGTTGTTTGTTTTTTCCTCACTAATATTATTGCCTAAAACTTCTGCCTTTATGTTTTGCAATGCTACAGTGTTTTCCTCCCATCCCATCCCTTTTTAATTAACAGGAAAGTGCAGGGGGAGAATTATTTTTAATTACTATTTAGGTAGAAAAAAGTTTTGGCTATTTTAATTAAGTTGCTTTCCTTAGTGTCATTTTCTCTTCATAATGACAATATTTGAACTATCTTCTTAGTTCCAGCTTGTTTTTGTGGTTTGGTCCTGATTTTCCTTCACAAMTTCAGTGTCAGATCAACAACAGATTAAGAGAAACAATTTCTCGCATCTCACAGTGGTTTTGGGTGCTCCAATACCTAACTGGATCCCTCCTTCACCCTTCTCCAATCCTCCTCCATCATTATCCTTCTCCCAGCTCTGGTGGCTTTTCAGGATCTTGGGTCTGGTTTTGCAGAGGGGCTGAGAGAACCCTGGGGGGATGCTCAACACTGATGAATTTGTAAGTGCAGATTTGCAGAGCAAACCAAATTACTCTGTCACCTCTCCTTCCATGGCCTGTCCTCAACCTTCATGAGAAAGTTTTAAAATGAATTATGATGTATTAAAAAATARCATAATCCCAAATGAGAAAGATGTGCACTGGTTTAGCAGGCTGRAAATATTCAGCAAACTGGGTGAATTATGCCCAGTTTTATGAAACACGGTGAGGTTTAGGCTTGAGTGTTTTAGCAAACTGGGGTAACTGTAAATGCAGGTTCTTGTTCTGGTCTGTGTCTAGGTTTGGGTTGGATCTCAGGAAAGGTTCTTCCCTCAGAGGGTTCTGGACACTGCCCAGGCTCCCCAGGGAATGTCACAGTCCCAGAGCTCCAGGAATGTTTGGACACTGCTCCCAGAGGTGCTCAGGGTGGGATTGTTGGGGGGTCTGTGCAGGGCCAGGAGCTGGRCTGGATGATCCCTGTGGATCCCTTCYCATKCAGGATATTCCATTTTTCCGTGCCTGGAACAGAGGGAGGGCAGCTCAAAGCCACAGAATGCTGAGAGTGATCCTTCCCCTGCCAAGTGCTGCCCCAAACTCCCTGGGATCTGCTGGACCCCGGGAGCTGACCACTCACATCTCTGATATTTCTCAAACTGGGCACTCTCAGGTTTGTGCAAGCCAAGCTGGAGACTGCGTGGAGTGTGAGATCAGCTCTATCACCCCCATTGGCCACCTCATCTATTTTATTTTAACAAAACAACCGGAGCATCAAATGTTTACGTTTTCTAAAATGTATCYCTTTTCTCTCTGTTTAGATGAATGCTAAAAATACTGTCCCTGAAGATTCCTCGCTGCTCCTTTGATGCTGTCTCAAAATTAGGACCCCCTTTGCACAAAACCTTCCCCTTCTCCCCCCGCTGCATTTTCTTTCCAAGAACAGGCAAACAAGCAGGAGCAGCTCAAATTAGGCCGCAGCTGTATTTTCCAGAGAAATTGTCCTCGTTCCTTTTAAGGACACAAGCGCTGCTCACCAACAAAGAATGGCCTGTTTAAAGGGACAGGACGGGCAACAAGCAAAAAAAAAAAAATAGAAGGGAGCTTTGTTGAGCATTTTCACATACGTAAAGCACAGAAATGGTTTTATGCAAATTGTGGTTTTGTGACTTTTTGGTTTCAAGGGGACGGTGCTGAGGTTTTATTTGAAATTTTTTTGGGGTGCTTAAACATGATATATGTCAACATTTATATCCACAGCTTTAAGATAATACTGATTATCTCTGTAAAGTTCTCAGGAAGGAAAGCAGACGATACTCAAATTATTACACACCATCTTCAAAAATCCTTGATGTTATAACATTTTAGTATTAATTTTAAATAGTAGAAGTATGACTGCTTCGTATGACTCTGCTGGTTGTAAAATTGGTTAAGGTGCTCCAGATCTTAGAAGAAATTATTAATTTGGGTTTTGGCCGGTGGGTAAATCACCTGCAGTGTCAGAGCCTGCTTGTGTGATTTCATCTGTCCCAGTCTGGCTTCTTCAATTCAACATCCTACACTGAGTTCCAGAGTTTTCAGCAAGAGAATTTTTCTGAAGTACTGACTAAATATAAATATGAATATAAATATAAATAATATAAACACTGAACACAGTCTTTGCAACACAAATCCCCAAAAGAACTTCTAGTTAAAAATGCCTATGCTTTGTGCAGCAGCACCATCTTCTTTTCAATGCCCCCTGGCATGACCTACGTTATTTAATAAAACATTTTGGTACTAATATATTGTAATATTAATACTGAATAAATTTTTATTATTGTATTTCAGGAATCATGATTTGGACAAACAGTTCAAGCCTYTCCACCGGATTTCTGATGGGATTTATCCTCCTGTCCATGCTCATCAGGAAGGTGGTGCCYGAAGAGAACATCATTGCAACCAAGAGTGGCAAAGTCAGAGGGACAAACATGCAGGTGCTGGGGGGCACGGTCACAGCTTTCCTTGGAATCCCCTATGGACAGCCCCCCATTGGGAGGCTGCGATTCCAAAAGCCAGAACCCCGGGAGCARTGGTCAGATGTTTGGGATGCCACCAGACACGCCAACTGCTGTTTCCAGCCCATAGACACAACTTACCCAGGCTTTGCTGGGGCGGAGATGTGGAACCCAAAAACCAACCTGAGTGAAGACTGCTTGTACCTGAATGTATGGGTTCCCTCTCCCAAACCCAAAAACGCCACTGTCATGGTGTGGATTTATGGTGGTGGCTTTGAGTCGGGGTCCTCTTCCCTGCCTGTCTACGATGGGAAGTTCCTGGCCAGGGTGGAAAGAGTGGTTGTGGTTTCCATGAATTACAGGACTGGTGCWTTGGGATTTCTGTCCTTGCCAGGAAACCAGAAAGCTCCTGGAAATGCGGGTTTGTTTGATCAAAGGCTGGCACTCCAGTGGGTCCAGGAGAACATAGCAGCCTTTGGAGGCAATCCCAAAAGCGTCACTCTGTTTGGAGAGAGCGCTGGCTCGGCCTCTGTCACCTACCACCTCCTGTCTCCGAACAGCCACCCTTTGTTCACCAGGGCCATCCTGCAGAGTGGCTCTGCAAATGCCCCCTGGGCTGCAATTACAGCTGCTGAGGCCAGGATCAGAGCGGTGGCTTTGGCCAAACAGCTCCAGTGTCCCACCARCAACGAGTCCGAGCTCATTCTCTGCCTCCAAGGCAAGGACCCCAAGGAAATACTGGAAAATGAAATATTTACTGTTCCATATGGCTCTCTTCTACAAGTCTATTTCTGTCCAAGCGTGGATGGYGATTTTCTGACGGACATGCCAGAAGTGTTGATTGAGAACGGCCTTTTCAAGCAAACCCAGATCCTGGTGGGTGTTAATAAAGATGAAGGGTCATCATTTCTGGCATATGGAGTGCCTGGCCTTGACAAGGATAGCGATGGCTTGATCAATAAAACCCAGTTTGAAGCAGGTTTGGCTCTKGCCTTCCCACAAGCGAGCAAACTGGCCATAGAGTCGATCGTCTTTCACTACACGGACTGGGAAAACGTGGARAAGCCGGAGCACTACCGGGACGCCATCGACGACGTTATCGGGGACTACAACATCATCTGTCCCGTGATGGAGTTCAGCACCAGCTTCGCCCAGCTGGGCCACCACGTGTTCTTTTATTTCTTTGAGCATCGCTCCTCCAAGCTGCCCTGGCCCGAGTGGATGGGGGTCATGCACGGCTACGAGATTGAGTTTGTGTTCGGGCTGCCCCTGGAGAGGAGGGTGAATTACACCAAATCTGAGGAGCTCCTGAGCCGCTCCATGATGAGATACTGGGCCACTTTTGCCAAAACGGGGTAAGTTTATCCTGCAAGTTTGCTTGGTTGGATGTTGTTTCACCAGGGGAAAAAACTTGACGGTTTCAGCGCTGCTTTGGAGCCTGACTGGAAGCAGATTAATTGTTCAGTTATCCAGAATTCCTGTTTCAGTTCTGACAAAAGCACTGTTTTCATAAAATAAACCGTTGATGTGTTGTTCCCTCTATTGGACAAGCTTAAGGAAACAATGTTTATCCGCCCATAAAAACAAATACAAACCATTCTTTGCCATGGCAGCGGTTGTTACAAAGGCAGGTAATGGTTTCAAGTGTTAGAAACAAAATATTTCAAATGCTAGAAAAGACTTCCAGCAGTCTAAGTAGGAGGAAAAAGCCCGATTTCCTTGAGGATGTAATTTGGTGTGTAAGGTGGAGGTGTGTTATGTTCATGTGGTGAAGGGATTGGGATTTCAGGACATGCATCTCCAAAAGCCTCTCCTCCCTTGTGTGCTAACTCATGACAAAACCATGACCAATTCCAGTCCACTCATCTTGAAGTGAAATGTGGCCCAGCCTGCAGAAGGAGCAAATCAGAATATTTCATTTGGGTGTTTGGAATGGATGAAATCCAACCCCTCTCCAGAAGGARTCAGGAGAAGTGAGGCAGCCCTTGCTCCTCTCTGCAGGGCTGGGGGCTCTCAGTGTGATGCTCTGYTGGAAATTAAAACATTTCAGAGCAGGGACAAGCACAGCCCCAGCCACAGTCGTGGTTTAGCCCCAAGCCTGGTGGGAAGGGTTTCCAGAAGCTTGGGTTTTGCTCTCTCCTGAGAAAATTATATATACAAAAGTCTGGGCCTTGGAGAACACACCACCTAACGGTTAATTTGCACTCTAAAAACATTTCTTTAATTTGAATGTTAAAATCCTGCATTAATTCTGTTTCCAAGGTGGGCCTTTTGTTTGATTTGTTTGGATATATAGATTTGTAAGKGCTGAAATCAACACTGGAACAGGATCTAATTAATTTTTTAATAGATTAGAGGGGACTGCTGTGCTCATTTAGTCCACTCAGCCTTGTACATAACACAAAACACAGGTAGGATTGAAATGTTTCCACTCATAAAAATGTTTCCACTGATTAAAAATCCAGAACAAACATGGTTAGGTTGTTTTAAATATTAATTCCACTTAAAAGATTACATTATAAAAGTAAGCATTGTTTCTAGGCTGAATTTGCCTATTCTTCCTCCACATTTTCCTGGTATTATATTTTGACAGTTTGGAAGATTCATATTATTATTTTTGGTCCATATAGAGATTGATTACAAAGGATGTATTAAAATAATTTTTAGTCCTTTTTTTTAAAGATCGTTTGTTAAACAAACCAGGTCATACCCTTGAGCCTTTCACTAATGTKCTTTTTCTTGGATAATAATTCTCCACATCTCAACCTGTGATTCATCCACACCTTGTTGGAGCTTTCCCTGTCAGAATTAAACACTGATCCCTAAGGAGCTGTAATTCCAGGTGTCATCTCCCCCTTCCAGTTCAACCTGATGTTCCCTGTTTATCCATCCCAGGACAGCGCTGTTTGTTCTTTGGGGTGTTATCTGGGAGTTTCTGTGTTCCAAGGGCTCCACCACCCACCCCAAATCTGTGTTCCCCCCTTCTTGGGCTCTCTCCAGCTCCGGGACACCCCAAATTTGGTGGCTGCCACCCCCCAGCCTTGTCTTGTCCCTTCACCTCTCCCTCCATGCTGAACTCACAGCTATTTTTTTATCCCTTTTTTAACAGATTTACTATCAATAGGTGTGATTGATTGATTGATTGATTGATTGATTGATTGATTGATTGATTGTCGTGATCTGTAGGTGGATTAATTACCTTAACAACTCCAATCCCCTTTATATTCTCAACATTATAATATTTCTTTTACCACAAGAGATGAGCATATTAAAGCTCAGAAAACAGCTACACCAATAGCTGTACTCTATTTTGAGGGGAAAAAGCGAAACTCAGGTCTATATTTGATTTTGCAGAGCAATATTTACATTTCTTTGAACTAGTGGTTTCCACTGCATTCTGTATATATTTAATTTTCATGTACATAACTTTTATGTGTGTAGATATATAAATCTCAATAACCTGCTCTGCAAAACACTGTTCCTGGAGCTCCTAAAATTAGGCAGCATAAGGTACATTCAGGTTTGAGTTTGTGGAAAGCAGTCCTGTCACCTACTCTGATCATCATTCACACTATAATTAGATTACCCCACAGATCCAATTTCAAGTGGTTTCCACAGCAAACAGCAAATAATTCCTCCCTCTGCTTCCAGCACGAGGATCCAAACCACTCTTGGGATAAACAATACAATCCTGCAATTTATTTATTAAAAAAGCTCAGGATTAACCCTCCACGTGACCCTTTCCTCACTCTCCAGAGCAGGGACACMTCAAGCTCTGCATCCCATTATTCAGAGTGTGCAAGGAGTGGGGAAGCAATAAAAAATTCCTAATAATTCCAATATTAATTTGTGATCTTTTTTTTTTTTTTCCTGGCACATTTGAGCGCAGTGAACATTTACAAAGAACTGGGGAAGCCCTGTTTTGACATAATGTTTATAGGAAACTCTGGCATGATCAAAGGGCAAACCTCTGAGGGGAAAATTCCCATCGATGCCTCCAGCAGATGAAGAGAAAAKCAAGCAAAAATGAGAAATATTGTACAGCACCGTTTTTAGTGAGGGCGTTTGACCTAATATTCTAATGTGCAGGAGTACAAAAGCACCAGGGAGGGGAGAGCAGCCTGCAGAGGAAAGGAGATGAAGCAGAGTCAACAAAAATGGAAGAAATCGTGTTTTTCCTGGTGTTTTCTGTCTGGGAGGGACTGAGAGGTCTCAGAGCTGCTTCTCATGAGGGGACTTCAATCCCAAWCTTTGACCTTAGTGGGCTCTGGGTTTTATTCTGGTGTGAAGAATAAAAATGCTGATAGGAAAAGTTAAAAATATGCACTTAGGAGCATTTTCTGTTTTTGTCGTGGTTGAAAGAGCATTTTCTGTTTCTGTCATGGTTGAACCCAAATCAGCACATAAACCCCACAAAGCTGTGCCCTCTGCCCCCAAAGATGGATGGGGCAGAGAATCAGAAGGGTCAAAGCATGAAAATTTGTGAGAAATCCCTAAGGTCACATAAGGACAAAGGAAAGAAGTCAGGGACAGAAAAAGAAATGATTCCTTCAAAGCATCCCAAGAGTGTCAGTCCCAAGAAATCCCCGATTTCTGCATTTCTCAGGAATTAAAAGGGCATTGCCACCTAGCCCAGAGGTTTCCCAGTCCTCCACCACCCCCAGCAGGACTGGATGCCATTTTMCAAATCTCTGAGCACTTCCTATTTCACATCCTGGATAAAAATAAACATCGGTGATAACTGACCATTGTTCCTGGAAAATTACAGGTGTGAAGAATTTCTATTTTTGGATTTAAACAGGGAATGGAGATATGGAGGATTCAGTGGGAGACAGGAGCAGACATTTCTCCTGTGAGCCTCAGAGCTGGGYGCTGCTGTTACACTCCAAATCCCTCTTCTGGATCCCAGGGAATAATGTCATTTTTAGGAATCTGCCACAGATTTACCCAGTCGGTGAAGATCCTGCTCAAATGATCTTTTTTAATAACTAAATTTGGGTATCAAGTAGATTTGACCAGGCATTCCAGCCATTCCAGCCATTCCTGCTTCTTTTAAGCTATTTCATAAATTTTTTCCCCTTTTTTTTTTGCATGTATTTGAGCCTTGAAAGAGCAATATTTTCATCATACCCTGAAAAATCCCCATTCTACCAGCAAGGGAAGAAAGAGACTTATTACTCCTGCTGTCTGAATAAATCAAACTTAATAAAATATTTGGGTTAAGGAAAGAACAGATTCCAGAATTGATGTTCTCAATTTACACTTTGAGTTTAAACTTCTCCTTTCACCTTGAACTAGGGAGTCCTCAGCTTATTCTTGCATTTAAGAATATTGAGAGTTGAATATCAATTCATAGCTTCAAAATCATTTGATAAAACACCAGAGATCATCACAGTTGGACCAAGAGATGTGATCAGATTGGATTCAGCAGGAAACCATYGTGTGGTGTCATGAAAAGTGCTGGATCAGGCACAGTATGATTATTTTTGTGTGAAAACAATGTTTATTTTAACAATATTATTAGTTTTCAGTGGCTTTCTCCTGAATTCTCTCCAGCACACTTGATTTTAAGCTACATCCACAGTGAAATAATCTAAATTTCTCTTCTTAAACATTCTTAGAGTCCATTTCCCTGCCACACTTCCATTATTCTTCAGGAACCTTTTGAAAGCAGGCAGGTGACACCAACAGCTCCTACCAACCCCAAGCTCCGGGATGTTCTCCTACTCCTGGGAAGCAAAAATAAATGGAATAAATTTTATTTATCCTGAAAAATGAGAGAGCATCCCAAATCCTTGGGTGCCTTTTCTGTTCCTTCATCCATGCGATTTGTACCTGCATTTTTTAGTCAAGAGTGATGCAAAGTGACAAGAGACAGACAAAGCAGATGAGCTGGAAACTCCAGCAAGAATAGAACGGAGCACACGAAAAGAATATTTTTTAAGGCTTTGTGAAAAATGTTTCGGATAAAAGGAAACGGGCAAAACTTGTCTCCCTGCCAGTTTTACAACTGCTGAAACAAATCTTTGCAGCTTTTTCTATAAAGTGAAGCCTTTGAAATATTCCCTCCTATGTTTTAGGGGAATTTGTGAGGCTTTGATTGTCCCACTAAAGCTGTGAAGCACTTTGTCTGGTTATTATTGCCTTTCCCTGATGTTCCACGGGCAGACACGTAATAAATTCCAGCGCTTTTGTTACCAACTTATCACAACCTGTTTATGGAGAGTGCTTTGAGAGCAGCAAGAACAAAACCAACAGCCTCGTATAGAGTCCAGGCAGCACTTGAACTGGGTACCTATATACTCAGGGTACGGGGAGGACTGGATGGAGTGGGAAAAAATAAAAATAAAAAACT